TTTTTAAGTTTTTTATTATATATATATATATATATATATATATATATATATATATATATATATATTTGTTTTTTAAATATTTGTAAAATCATTCTTGTTTGGAATAAGTATTACACGAAGCAGTTTTATTTTGGTACTGTTTACGTCCTTGAATTTGTTACAGATGTATTCTAACAAACCATGAATTAAGTAGACAATAAATTTTAATAAATATCGTATTTACGAAAAACTGATATTGTATTAAACAAGTGATTTGTAAAGTTTACTAACATAATAAATTGGATGAAAAACAATTATGCTTAAGGAGTTAATGAACATGAAAGTTGTGTCCATGGAATATTAGTACTTATAATGAACCAAACAAATATATGGTTGAAATTATAGCATTCCTATATCTAGCTCCCTTAAAAATAAATTAACTTTTGAGTACCCACTCTACTTAAAAGTTGTGTAATTTCTTCACAGTTGTATTTTAAACTAATGACTAAATAATTCTTTTTGGGGGTAATGACATTGATTAGACATTTTTAACCAATCTTACTGAAATGCAACACCAATATTTAAACTTGTAAACGTTGCATGGAATTTTGTAATATAAATGTATTAATACATTTTTAAATATTGTGTTACAATGAATGTGGCTCATTAGCCTAATTCTATTGTAATACGGTCTTTACTGCATGACGAAGGGCGTTCGTACAAACGTCGCACAAAATAAACTAGAAAAAGTTTTCATTTAGACGTGTCAATTTAGTCTTTATTAATTTTTATCCAAGTTTTTCTTCTCACGGCTTGCGGAACAACACTCATTCCAGATTACACTAACTACGAAGAGTTGAGTAGCGTTCTGCGAAACCCGTGCGTAGAATGTGATTAGATAGGATATTCGCTTGAAAGTTGATTGCTATTTGAACTCGAGATGTAAGATTTAAAATGGAAACGAACAAACATAGCAGGGTAGGGTTACATGCCTTAGGTAATCTTGTAATCATAAAATGATTCAAATGATAACTTAATTCTGCCAGGGATAGTGACTAGAGTTGAATACTAGGCTTAGTTCAATATAAGGATAAGCAGGTTCAATTTGTGGGATCAGTTCAGTTGAAAAAGAAAGCTTTTTGAAACGGATGGTTTACATTTAAATAGAATAAGAGCTGGTTTGTTGAAAAAGAGCTATTAATTAAACTGTAAGGGCAACTTTAAGCAAGGTTAGACAGTGAGGATGGCTAGAATAATGAAAAAATTAAGATGTAGCAAGGAGTATAGTGTGATACAAAGGTAGTTCTAATGGTAGGCTAAACTATTATTGTAATGTTATAAAGTATAAGAAATAAAATGGATGATTTTACAGCGCTGGTTGGAAAAGATAATTTTGATATAATTGGAGTAACTGAAACCTGGCTGAATGTAGACAATTTTGGTGACAGGATGTTTTTTTAAATACGAGGTTATAGGTTTATTAGGAATAGAGTGTAAAAAAAGGGATAAAAGTGATTTAATACGTAAAATGTCAGTTACGGCCTGTTCTATTTAATTATATCGAAGTTAATAGCAATGAGGTTGATTATAAGGGAAGAAAAATTAGAGTTGGAATTTGTTGCAGATCACCAGACAAAATTAATGATAAACTCTGGAGTAAGATAAAGAATTTGACTGTTAATGAGGTTATGATTATGGGAGAATTTAAGCATAGAGAGTCAAATCGTGAGGGAGACAGTCTTTATAAACTGTTCAAGATGGTTTTCTTCACCAATTGGTGAATGAACTTTATAGGAACAATGCTATTTTTAGATTGATTATTAACTTCTAATAAATAAATAGTTGATAGGGCAGAGACTGGGGAATATCTGGGTGCAAATGATAATTCCTCAATTATATTTGATATTTTGTTGCACATGAAGATAAGGAATGATGAGATTTTGGTTCCAAATTTAAAAAAAAAGCAAATTTTGAAGGGATGAGAAAAGAATTATCTTCTATGTTTTGGGCAATTAAATTAGTTAGAAATACTGATCAAATGTGGAAAAAATCTAAGTAAATTCGTAAATATTAAAGGTAGGCATGTTTCTTATAGCCAAACTTGGTGGTTGCAAATAAAAGGACAGGTTGGTTCACAAAGGATATAAAGGATGTGATTAAAGAAAAGCATTATGAATATAAGAAGTTTAAATTGACTACAATGATGAAACATTTGGAGGATTATAGAAGATCAAGAGAGTTGGTCAAATGAGAAATTAATAAATCAAAAAAGTGTTGGCTGAAAATGTAAAAAATAATAGTAAGGATTTCTTTAGGGTAAGCAAAATATGATGGGAGTAGGGTCTTTGAGGGATGATATAGGCACATAACATCTGGTGATTATTGGATGGCTGGGTTATTCTACTTTTTCTTTGGTTTTTACTGATGAAGATTTGAGTAATATTCATCATCTTAAACAGTTACTAGATGGAAACAAGACTGACTATGATGATCACAATAATTCCGAGCTTGTTCAGAAAACGAAAAACTGGGAAGTTTAAAGAATGGTGAAACTCCTGAGCCAGCTATTATTTGCTCAATAGTTTAAGGATTGGCTATATGAGCTACTTGGTAC